GGTGGGGCACCCCCTGGCTCCCTGTTTGCACGGCGCCGCTCTTGGGTCCCCCGACGATGGCGCTCGCGTGGGACCAGGGTTGTGGTTTGCTGCGCGCTGCTGCGGTCGCCACAGAAGATGGCTTGTAATGGAGATCCATGGAGGTGTCCGCGGATGAGCTGAGCTGCTCTTCAACCCGTCGTGCCTCCCCTCCCTGTGTCTTCAGAAGGAAACGCACCCTTTTGCTCTGGCCGTACGCGGTGGTCGGAGGTGACGGATCGCAGCAGCGTTGCTGTCGGCGTTGCCGACCTCTCTGCTTGGCCGTGGCCTTCCTCCCGCGCTGCGCGGGGCTGCTCGCTCCCTGCAAGCGCAGGGGCTTCCTCGCAAGCCCCGTGCTCGTGGGGCCTGTCCCATGGCCCCAGGGCTGCCCTGCGTGTCCCCATGGGCAGGGTCCCCACGGGCAGGGTCCCTTGGGGCACCGCGAGCCGCGCTCTGCAGGGAGCCCGCGTGGCCCCGCTCCGGTGGCACCGCGCAGGAGGTGGCTCTCGGCGCGGGTGCCTGGTCTGCCAGCACGGGGCTGGTCTGTGAAAGCATCGACTCCGTTTTTTCCTTTGGTAATGTAATTTTTCTTCTGTGTGTTCCATTGCTAGAAGAATTACATGTAACATTATTAATCTTGCTATAGAAAATGTTCCTGTGCTTTTTCAAGCAGGTGAAAAATGTTCCATTTTGTTTCGGAAATGCAGATCCTTGCTGAGAACTTTCCACAATGTTATGGGGACTTAAGGGGCACATTATTAGGGTAACCCTGTTTCTATGCTCTCCGGCGCACCAGGGTGTGGTGGTGTTTTCTTTCTCCGTTCAGGATGAAGTATAGTGCCAGGAGCTCCAACCCCCGGTCATTAAGTGATATATGTGGTTTCACCGTGCTTTGCCAGCACTCGATGCGCTCAGCAGAGCGCAGGGAGGGCTGCGGCCGAGCAGGTAACTTTCCAGCGGCACCTGGTTCCTCCCGCCCCGGCCGGTGGAATTTTACCTCCCCGGCGCCTATCGGGGCTGGGATCGCGTGGGTTCGCGGCGGAGCGCGGCGCGGCCCTCGCTCCCCTCCAT